AGTAACCTGCCATCCGGTTCCGTTTCAGTTGCCGATTCTCCAAACAGCCATAAATAAAGGAATGGTGGGTTCTGGGAGGCAGTGCCGGCTCACACAGATGGCACTGGGATATTCCTAGCATTCTTACCATGTCTGCCAATGGAAGGTTTACTTGCAAATAAGAAAATGGGTGAGAGTTAGCCATGCAGCCAACATGAGACACTTCTATGTGTGTGCTCTTCAAAGCTCTGCTTTGTAAGACAACAAGATATGGAGAAGGAGGAAGGAGGGCAAGAAAGGAAAGAGAACACCCATTTTGATTCAAACAACTCATCTAGAACAGGCATGGGCAAACTTTCTAACTTGGGGGCCGTATAGCGGGCCACAGCAAGGTGGACGGGCTGAGAAGGGCTCATCCCCAAGCCCCCTCCTTGCCCTTTCCTCCCCTTCCTCTTCTCTTTCAGAGGCAGAAAGTGAAGGAAAGATGGGAAACATTTGGATCTCAAAAGGGTTGGCCTTGGTCAGGATGAGATAGTGGATGGGAGAGAAAAAGTGTATCCATTTGACCCCGTATTGCCTTCTCCTGATATAGAATCCTAAACCTGGAAGAGACCCCCAAGGTCCATCCAGTCCAACCCCCTGCCATGTAAGAAGGCACAATCAAAGCATTCCCGGCAGACAGCCTCTGCAAAAAAGCCTCCAGAGAAGGAGATTGCACCACACTCCAAGGCAGGCTATGCCACTCTCCAACAGCTCTGACTCTCAGGAAGTTCTTCCTAATCTTTTCAGTTGAATCTATTTCCCTGCTATTTGAACCCATTGCCCCCTTGTGCCCTGCTCTCTAGAGCAGGGGTCCTCAAACTAAGGCCCAAAGGCCGAATATGGCCCTCCAAAGCCATTTACCTGGCCCTTGCTCAGGGTCAACCTTAGTCTGAAATGACTTGAAAGCACACAACAACAACAAAAACAACAACAAAAACAATCCTATCTCATCAGCCAAAAGCTGGCCCACACTTCCCATTGAAATACTATATTTGCTTAAATTGTTTTTCATTTTAATTATTGTATTGTTTTTAAGTGGTTTTTTTGCACTACAAATAAGAAGTGTGCGTAGGAATTCGTTCATGTTTTTTCAAATTATAATTTGACCCTTCCACAGTTTGAGGGTCTGTGACCTGGCCCTCTGTTTAAAAAGTTTGAGGACCCCTGCTCTAGAGCATCAGAAAGTTAAGGATGAATTGTGGGTTATTTTGCACTATGTTTTGTAAATTGCACTTGTTTTTTCATGTTGTACACCGCAATGAGTCGCCCTTAAAGGGCTGAGAATTGCGGTATATAAGCGCAGTAAATAAATAAATAAATAAATAAAGTCAGACCCGCCTCTCAATGCGACACCCTTTGAAATTTTGAGACATGATTCTCATGTTCCCTCTCTACCTTCTCTTCTCCCAGGAGGAAAGGAGGAAGGAAAAAGAGAAGGAAAGAAGGAAGGACATATGAGGAGAGTAGGAAAGAAAGGATGAAGGGAATGGCCAGGCATCTAGCCTGGGTGAGGGGGGGGGGGCTTCAGCCCCCCCCCCCCCCGAAATTCCCAGGGTGGTCCACGAGAAGGCCTTACTGGTGCATTATTTAAACTGTTATGTTTATTCATATCATGATCTGATCACCATGCTCAATATATCCCATATGCATGGAGGGGGTATTGGGATAACAACACAAAAGGTTTGCTAGGGTAGATCCTCTCTCACTCAGACTCAGCGCCCCCCCCCCCCCCCCCCCCCCCCCCCCCCCCGAATCAATATCCTGGCTATGGGCCTGGGAATGGCGGGAGGGAAGGGAGTGAGGAAAGAGAGAAGGAAGGAAGGAAGGAAGGAAGGAAGGAAGGAAGGAAGGAAGGAAGGAAGGAAGGAAGGAAGAGAAGGAGGGAAGGAAGGATAGGATAGCATAACATAACATAGGATAGGATAGGATGGTGAAAGAGTGGAGGGTCTGAGAAAAGAGCCCAAGGAGCTGCGTCCGCCCCCCCGGGCCTGGGTTTACCCATACCTGATCTAGAACGATTTCTCATTTGTAAGATCTGAGAAAATCCAAAACGGAAAGATGGAGCCATACCGGTTGCAAGTCTGATTCAAAGTCATTTCCACTTTAGAATATAGCAAGGGCAGTAACATCCAAAAAGAGCCATTCAAGATGCTAGGTTTAGCGGAGCTGGACAGTTCAGTACCTTGGGCAGCTCTGCTAAACTTCTGACTAAATCTCAGAGCAGTTTACCTCTCTATACTGATGCTTAAGGTGGAAGGGAAGCATTGTAGCTCACTGGAAGAAATGTAATGCATTGTCTGGAGCCTAGTGGAAGAGGATGCAGATCCAAGGTGGCTACCTGCCTTCCGTGTATCCTTAATGCCATCACTTTAAGACAGGCATGGGCAAACTTAAGCTGTTGAGAGGGAAAAGGAAAGGGTCTGAGGCTGTTGTGGGAGTTGAAGTCCTAAACACCTGGACGGCCCAAGCTTTGCCCACGCCTGCTTTAAGAGGTTGCACCATGCCATCTTGTTTAGGAGAATTGGAAATGTTCCAGCAGCCAAGGAAATAAAAACAGATGAAGGTAGAGCAGCCCTCCATGTCTCTCCTCTGTCAGAAGATCCACAAAGTGATGACTCTGCCCTCCTGATAGAAAGCCTTCCAATGCCTGTAGATGCCAACCAGTAAGGGGAGAAACAGATTCATCTCTTCACTGCTACGCCCTTCTGTTTGAACATTAATCCTTGGATGGTTTCACACCACATTCCTAATTCTCATTCCATCTAGGTCCTCTTGGCCATTTCAATAATGCAGGACCCAATGCATTCCCTCATTGTCCAAAGCACTCCTGGTAATATTCCTCTTCATTTTGGGAGATGGGAAAATGGTTAATGTGCTGGCCTCTCTTTAAGAAAAAGAGTCATGCTACCCATCTATTCTGCCTTGGTTAGACCACACCTGGAATATTGTGTCCATTTCTGGGCACCACAATTGAAGAGAGATATTGACAAGCTGGAATGTGTCCAGAGGAGGGTGACTCAAATGATTAAGGGTCTGGAGAACAAGCCCTATGAGGAGCGGCTTAAAGAGCTGGGCGTGTTTAGCCTGAAGAAGAGAAGGTTGAGAGGAAACATGATGAGAGCCATGTATAAATATGTGAGAGGAAGTCATAGGGAGGAGGGAGAAAGCTTGTTTTCTGCTGCTCTAGAGACTAGGATGCGGAACAATGGCTTCAAACTATAAGAAAGGAGATTCCATCTGAACATTAGGAAGAACTTCCTGACTGTGAGAGCCGTTCAGCAGTGGAAATCGCTGGAGTGTGGTGGAGGCTTCTTCTTTGGAAGCTTTTAAACGGAGACTGAATGGCCATCTGTTGGGGTGCTTTGAATGTGGTTTTTCTGCTTCTTGGCAGGGGGTTGGACTGGGTGGCCCATGAGGTCTCTTCCATCGCTATGATTCTATATATATATAGGTAAACATTGCCTTTTGGCTATAACATCTATCTCATGTGCTTATTGCATCATGCTGGTTTTGCAATTGTCACCTTCGATTTTCTTTTTGATGAAACATATCTAGGTTTGGAGGTAAAATATGTGAGCAAGAAAGATGGGAAGGAAAAGGGATGTTTGACAGTTGCATTCAGAGGCAAGCATTTGCTTTTAAAGCCTTAGCAGTGGGAACTAGGCTCAGTACTCCATTTTCTCATGTACGCTCTTTCAGTATATAGAGATATATGGAGCACAAATAGCTTTAGGGCAGATGGTGCCATCACACTTCTAGCTTCCCTTTCATGGATAAGTGCTAAACTGAAACTGATTGACTTGAAATATTCACATCTTCCTTTCGATCAGTGTAAAACCTAAGCCAGAAATGAACAGCCATGTAAGTCAAACTTTATAAAGCCCTCTCCTCTCAAACTAGAATGCTGACCCCCACACTAATTTACATCAAATGTATATATGAACCCACAAACCTGACCCATGACCTCATGAAGATGTACATCCTACAACACTGACCCTCATCTTCCATTATTAGAGTTGCCAGACTGGATATGGGATGGGACTCCAAAATTTTGATTCTGAACAGATGATGGAGCAAGTCAAGTATCTGCACAACTCCATTAGGAAAGAGAAAGGAACTTGTCCTCCTTCATCTTTTGAACTCCAATGATCAACGGCAGTTGTCCCCTCTTAACAGTGGAAGGAGATAATAGCAACAAGATCAGAGCTGAACACCACTGGGTCCCAACGTTGAAAGGTGGTGCTTGCAGCTGATAGTTGGATATGGATGATTCAGGAGGAAAGTCACTTTAACTCTATGTATTGTGGAAGGCTTTCATGGCTGGAATCACTGGGTTGTTGTAGCTATATGACCATGTTCTAGAACAGTGGTTCTCAACCTGTGGGTCCCCAGATGTTTTGGCCTTCAATTCCCAGAAATCGTAAGAGATGGTAAACTGGCTGGGATTTCTGGGAGTTGTAGGCCAAAACACATGGGGACCCACAAGTTGAGAACCACTGTTCTAGAAGCATTTTCTTCTGATGTTTCAATTGCATCTATGGCAAGCATCCTCAGAGGTTGAGAGACCTCACAACCTCTGAGGATGCTTTCAATAGATGCAGGCCAAACATCAGGAGAGAATGCTTCTAGAACATGGCCATATAGCCCAAAAAACCTACAACAACCCACTTCAACTCTGCTTGGTAGAGCTTTGTGTACCTTGTCCCGCTCCAAGATCTGCTAAGATTCAGAGGTCCTTGAGACCCAACCCATGTTCAACTTGGCAACCCTATCCATAATGAGGCAAAATAGACCAATGTCAAAGCATCCCCTTTTGCTAGAAGATATGGAGAAACCACCATTTTGGAGAGCAATTGCAACTGCTAGGAATGAGGACACCATCCCACCTTGTACATACCCGATGTAAGGCATATGAGAAATGGGCTCGTCTTGGGCTGAGAGTTGGAGCTGAACACAGCTAGAATTGTGTGGTGCACTGCTATTCGGCATGCATTTTATTTCTTTGTACAAAGATTCATGCAACATCAACTATACAAGCAGTTTTACATCCGACATGATTACTGATTTTTCTACCTACAGTTCAAGAAACTTTTTTACCTGAAGAATAGCTTCGAAAACCTGGGAGTCTGGTCCTTTACCCTGTTTTGCGTTTGTGGCTTTTGAATGGCTTTTCTTTTCCTTGTGGAAAAAAGAACCTTCACTTGCGTTTCACCAGGCCTCTCCAGTCTTCCATAGACTAGGCCTTTCTGCTTGGCAATGCAACGTGTGACAACAGGAACCCTTGCAAAAGCCTCGACCCTCCATTTTCTCTTTTCCAGAAGAGCAATGAGCACATCGGCACACATTGGGCGAGGGTCCAGGCTTCTTGGTTCAGAGATGCCACCACTAAGTGCAATTGAAGGGACATGCTTCTAAGCTGTAAAGAAATGTAGTGTCCATGGGAAAAGGGGGAACCTACTCCATGTAAACAATAATCTACTTAACTATAGAAGAATTAAAAAAATGCTGTTGGAATGGACCAAAAGTCCATTTCATCCAACGTTCCATATTCCAACAGAGGCCAGCTTCTGGAAAATCTTACAATTAGGGGACGAAGGCAGGGTTCTCCCCCATAAATTGTTCCCAGCCTTTGGCATTCAGAGACATGTTCCATTTAGCTATCAGGGTGAACAGCAAACAACCGAGTTTTTGTCTCCTGTGAACTCAATGGAGCATGGAGAGCAAAGTACAACATTCAAAAGACTCTACAGTACAGTTGCCATCTGAACAGACTCCATCCTGAGGACTTGCACCAGAAGAGCCATCCAATGGACTGGACCCAAGTGTGTGCAATGTCTGTTTGGGGCAGAGGAGGGCAGGGGAGGGCGTCACGATGTTCTTGAGCCTTGCTCAGTTCAATATGGACCCGTTGCTTCTTAAACAACTAGAGCTTAAATTGGATGTGACCTACAGACACGGGGTAGAGTACCATTCCTGTAACTCCTCCATATTATTATAACGCTGGTGCTATTGCAAAGTCCTGCCTGATCAACCAGGGGAAAATAGCTAAGTGCATGGTCTCTGGTCAGGTTCGAAGGACAGATTATGAGGGTCCTTCAAGACAGAGAGAAGATCGACCATCATTGGAGGGAAATTGGAGCAAGGCATATTTCCAAGTTGACTGGAGTGTGGCCTTCGCAGGTCACAACCGATGCTACATGGATGTCCCTTCAGAGCCTCGTCTGGGTACAGTGGCCCCATTGCCTGCTGTTGGGGGGGGGGCAGGATCAGTGAGCCTACAGGGCTTCCCTACTTCTGAACCTGCTGGCCTTAAAAACTCACTGAGCACATGGAGAGGTTCAATGTCAGAACCATCTGGTGGGAATGCCTTCTAAGATATAATCCCAGGAAGCCATTGGTGGACTTGATGGGTGCCTATGTCTTTGTCAACACAGCCCTGAGGAGATGGGAGCACACCTCCTCACCAGAGGACCCCCAAAGTATGGACGGCATTCTCAACAGGACACACGAAGCCTGCCTCCCATCCCTCCCCGTGAGGTAGAGAAATATTACTGTCCCTATTTGACAGATAAGGTAAATTGAGGCACCAAGAAATGAAAGAGACCTGCTCCAATTCATACAACACATCTGCCAGATTTCAAACACACATCGGGGAACTCTTCTAGAGTTGTGTCCCTGTGCTTTGCCCTCAAGGCCAGTCGTCTCTAGGAGGGATCTGACCAGGAACGTAACATGAATGCTGACTCGTCCAAAGTGACATTTCCCTATATAGTAGGCCAAATGACAACATAGTTGCTCAAGAACTCTAGATCTTAACAGTTTGGTAGAGCAACACGAGCTCTTGGGATGAAGGCTATCGGTTAACGTCAGCCATTGGGCACATCCAATCATAAAACCTGGCTGATTTACATTGTCACCATAATGAATCTCAAAGATGCCAGTGGCAAAAAAATATGCAAGGATGAATCACCAATCGACACATAACAATTCGGAGAAATAGCCGTGCTCAGTTTTCCTCTAAAAGTCCATTGAGTAGACCAGCAATAAGCAGTGTTACTCCAGGATTCGTCTCATTCTTTTCTTCATGCCTTTCCACTTGGAGTAAATGGACAAAGGCAGCCCACAAAGGAAAACCCACCAAAAAAAAAAATCACAAAAGGAAAACACTAAAAAAAAAGAAATTCCAGAAAACACACAGTTGCCTTAATACATTCTAAACGCACAATAGGTTGCAAGGAAATCTAACGCAGAGCATCGACACAGCCCCAAAGATTGGCTTGTATAGTATTGCTCTGATTTCATTTTGCCAATGTACCCAAAGTTTATTCTCCATAATAATAATAATAATAATAATAATAATAATAATAATAAGGAATAAGGTAAGATGAACCAGTTGGTGCCTCTAGCCAGGCCTGGGGGGAAAATGACCAATTATGTACAAAACTGTGAATTTTGCATCAGTTGTGACGAAAGCTTGAAAAGACCCTTTCAGCCTCTCATTGTATTAAAATGTGTCATTCCTTTAAGATAAAATACTGCATTGTGAACGTCCTCAGAGTTCTACAGCATTATATTGTTAGGATGACAGTAATATAGAAAAAAGGAAAGTGTAATAATGTTCAAAAATACTCTCAAAAATGAACCACACAGAATGGATTGCAATATCCCTTCTCCACCGACCATTCAAGCCCTTCCCTGTTTGCTGTGTCATCCTGGTCTCATTTTGGCAGTGACTTCTTAACAACGTCTTGGAATGATCTTGGATTTTTTTTGTATCTTTGTTATTTTTTTAAAAGCAAAAGAAAGTCACCAGCTTTTGTTTAAAAAGGAGCCTAAAGTATTGACTCTTTTTTTTTTCCAAAACGTAGCTAAAAGTATTTGCTTTCCTCTATAAAATCACTATAAAAGTCTAGTGATTCCTGGTTATTTAAAAAAATTGAACCCCAAGGTATCGTAAAAGAGAGCTGAAAGCAAAATGCTCACAGTGTTTTCAGTGTTGGCTGTTTACAAGGCATTCACCATTTCCACAGAGATAGAGGGATACCATTCCTCCATTCAAGTAACTTCATATTAACCGGGCTGGTTTCTATGATCAGTCATATATATTTACACTCTTGCTAAAATCCCACATAGTCTTGGCAGAGCATTAAAATGTACGCCAGCATCCAGTTTTGACTACTGTTACGACATTTCACTTTTGATACTCTCTAATCCTCCTGGTGCGGAAAACTAAGCCAAATAATGGACTTTTCTCCCATGGGCCATGAATAAATTAGGGTCAGGGGTTGAAGGAAGGGTTAAACTCAGAGACATCACTTTGGAAACAGATTATTATTATTATTATTTGCAGAGTTGCTGGTATCCATTGGTTTTTGGAAAATGTGCTGGTGGTAGGACCTGTTTCCCTCTCGGCCTACAGACAGAATTACGACATTTGCTAAAAGAACAATAGTAAAAAAAGGGAGGGAAATGTGACTGAATCTACAGACATAAAGTCAGGCATGGAGGAAGATGGGACCATGAACTCATTGGCTTCCTATGGCCAGTAACAGTCATTTCCTTTCCTATGAAGTTACTCGGACAGTTGGCATCCCTTTATCTCCATGGGTGGGCAAGTGTTGACTTTGTGGCACAGAGGAGGAATAAAACCGTAGGAGAAAATGAAGGGGGGAAAAGACATAACTTTTGTGTCCTTGGATTGATTGGCAAGCACCAATGACCTCTCTGCTTCGTTTGGCAGAAGTGCTGCTCGTGGTATCTAAAAGAGAGTGTGTACGAGGGACACGGGGAGCAGGGTCCCTTTACATGGAGTCTCCCAGGGAATCCGAGTCATCCAAGGATAGAGGCAGGTACAAGTCCTGTAAGAAGAAAGGGGAAAGTGTTAACACCCACAAAAGGACAGAGTCTGGAGCACCACTTGCTGCTGCTGCTGCTTTGTGCCTTCAGGTTGTTTTGGATTAAAGACTACCATAGACAGAGTGAGAGAGAGAGATGAGAGAAAGAGAAAGATGGTAGGCAGATGGATGGATGGACAGATGGATAGACATATAGATGGCCGGGAGGGCCTTCGCACAGTTAAAACTTGTGCGCCAGCTGAAGTCTCATGAAGTCCGACTAGAGCATGGTGGTCCATGCCTTAGTTACCTCTAGACTGGACTACTGCAATGCACTCTACATAAGGCTACCCTTGAGGACGGCCCGAAAATTACAACTTGTCCAACGTTCGGTAGCCAGATTAATAACTGGGCTAGTTATAGGGTGCGGTCAACTCCCATATTTAAGGAGATCCACTGGCTGCCGTTTATTTTCCGGTCCCAATTCAAGGTACAGGTTATCACCTATTTGTGTGTCATTGTTGTTCCACTGTATTAAAGGCACTAAATGTTTGTCTATCTGTGTATGTTGTAATAGGCTCTGTCCCCGCGGGGAGATAGACAGGAACATCATCATCATCATCATCATCATCATTATTATTATTATTATTATTGGGAAGGTTGCATTGTTTTAGGAGCCCCCGGTAGCGCAGTGGGTTAAAGTGCTGAGCTTGTTGACCGAAAGGTCACAGGTTCGATTCCAGGGAGTGGCGTGAGCTTCCGCTGTCAGCCCTAACTTCTGCCAACCTAGCAGTTTGAAAACATGCAAATGTAAGTAGATCAATCAAGTAGCGCTCCGGCGGGAAGGTAACGGAGCTCCATGCAGTCATGCCGGCCACATGACCTTGGAGGTGTCTATGGACAATGCTGGCTCTTCAGCTTAGAAATGGAGATGAGCACCACACTCCAGTCAGAAATGACTGGACTTAATGTCAGGGGACAACCTTTACCTATCTTTAACCTGCATTGTTTTAAACGTATTCAGCCACTTTGAGTCTTGTTTGGAAGGGGAAAGTGGGAAATAATAATAATAATAATAATAATAATAATAATAATAATAGTATCAGCCCTACTTTATCTTTCAAGTGAAACATGGATAGAGCTGGAAGGAGAATTATCCAGACAATGACAAAGTCAGCATGAGCAATATGTAATGCATACGTAGCAATCCTTATCTGAGGCCTATGTGGCCCTGACTTCTGGCTGTTGACCTCATTGGCACACCATGTTGCAGGTCCAGCATTGCTAGCATAGGGCAAATGACAGAGTTCAGCCAGTAATACAGGCCGTGGGGAGATGTCAGCTTTCATCAAGATGGAGTTTAGTGGGCTCATTAAAAGAGATCAGGATGCAGCTGAATCTTTAATGTTTATTTCATGCCAACACAGGGTTGCCATGGAGAGGGTTCCTGAACCTTTATTGCTGGTGTAGAAAAGTGCATTTGAGCACGTATTTTTCCTACCTAGTTTCATGATAAGCAACACCTGCTGAAATGTTCTTTTCTACACAAGCATTAAATTGGAAGGAGGCTCCCTGGACTTGTAGGTGTGGAGATGGGGAACTGCTTCAATCTAAGTGTCAACAGTTGGCTGCTGGAGGTGCCATTTGGTCCAGCAACATTTTTTTTTCATTCTATTGTTTTGACTGCATTTGATCAGATAGAAAAGATACAGTTAACTGCAACTGGAGTGGATCCATTGAAGAACTGAATGTTACTCTATGTTGACTCACCATTCAACCCTCGGATTGTCATTGCTTGACACTACTTCGGACTCAGAGATAGGATTCAGGCCACTGTCATTTTTGCAAAATACATCTTGTGCAAATTCCAGCAGTTTGACACAAACACGTATTTTCTGCAATTATTTTACACAAATGAACGTTTCCCAAAACCATCTCCAAAATGAAAACAAAGAAGTCATTAAAGAAGCATTCAAAATAGTGCCCAGTGGGAAGAAAACATTGTATCATCGAAGGCTTTCATGGGCAGAATCATTCTCTCCTGACATTTTGCTTGCATCTATGGCAGGCATCGTTAGAAGTTGTGAGATCTGTTAGAAACTATTGAAATTCACAAGCATGTGGACAATTTCAACAGAAAGGAGGAAACCACGAAAATGGACAAAATCTGGCTATCTTACTTACTTACTTTACTTATTTACTATTATTCATTTACTATACTTGTATACCACCTTTCTCAGACTATCAGCGACTCAAGGCGGTACTATCCTACTCGTTGTCCGAGTAGGATAGTCTTCCAGGATCAGTATTCTGCTGGGTGCGTAGGTGACTGTGGAGCCCTATTCTTGATCTGCATCTTCTCCTGCAGTGAGGGCATTGGTTTCCAGGTGGAAGGCAGTCCCGGTCAGGGTTGGCTTGACACGCCTTCTTCTTGGCACGTTTCTCTCTTTCACCCTCCATTTGTGCCTCTTCAAATTCTACAGCACTGCTGGTCACAGCTGACTTCCAGCTGGAGCATTCAAGGGCCAGGGCTTCCCAGTTCTCAGTGTCTATGCCAGAGTTTTTAAGGTTGGCTTTGAGCCCATCTCCAAATCTCTTTTCCTGTCCATTCCATTTTCTGTTCTTGAGTTCAGAGTAGAGCAACTGCTTTGGGAGATGGTGGTTGGGCATCCGGACAACGTGGCTGGTCCAGCGGAGTTGATGGCAGAGGAACATCGCTTCAATTCTGGTGGTCTTTGCTTCTTCAAGCACACTGACAGTTGTCTGCTTGTCTTCCCAAGAGATTTATAGGATTTTCCAGAGGCAGCGCTGATGGAATCGTCCCAGGAGTTGTATGTGACGTCTGTAGATAGTCCACGTCTCATAGGCATATAGCCGGGTTGGCAGGACAATAGCTTTATAAACAAGCACCTTGGTATCCCTATGGATGTCCCGGTCCTCAAACACTCTCTGCTTCATTCGGAAAAATGCTGCACTCGCAGAGCTCAGGTGGTGTTGTATTTCAGTGACAATGTAGACTTTTGTGGAGAGGTGGCTGTCAAGGTAGTGGAAATGGTCAACATTAAGTTGTATTTCTGGCATTGGAGAGGGATTGGCTGGTGACTGCTGGAAGAGCACTTTGGTTTTCTCGATGTTCAATGACAGGCCGAGCTTCTTGTATGTTTCTGCAAAGGTGTTTAGAGTGGCTTGTAGGTCTTCTTCTGAATGTGCACAGATGACATTGTCATCAGCATATTGGAGTTCTATAACATGTTGTTGTAACCTTGGTTTTGGCTTTCAGTCTGCTGAGGTTAAATAGCTTGCCATCTGTCCGATAGATTATTTCCACTCCGGTGGGAAGCTTGCCATCAGCAACATGAAGTATCATAGCGATGAAGATGAAAAATAAAGTTGGGGCAATAACACATCCCTGTTTGACACCTGATTCCACCTTAAATGGGTCACTTTGGGAGCCATTGCTGTCCAAGACTGTTGCCATCATGTCATCATGGAGGAGCCGCAGGATGTTCACAAATTCGATAGGGCACCCGATTTTTTGGAGGATGGTCCAGAGAGCACTGCGATTCACTGTGTCGAATGCATTTGCAAGGTCATGGCCATACAACCCAGAAAACTCACAGCAACCCATTGGAAATATTCCATCAACTTCATTTTGGTCATACATCCTAACCTGCTGAGTGGTTCACACACTATATTTCTTTATGTGGCACATCCACCAATGTTTGCATTGACTGGAACAAAAGTGTTGTGTTGTGGTTTTCAAATAAACAGCAGATGCTTGAATTCATGGCAACACAAAATGCAATGCCTTTCAAAACCCTCATTGTGTTTCCCCACCAGTTAGCTGTCTGTAGGAAACTTTTTATATCATCTCAATGAGATACAAAGAAGTCAAATCCTGGGGAACTTTTACAGCTTTCTCAATGGATCAATAACCAAAGTGTTGGTTCGGGAGCAAAGATCTCCTTTGAGCAGAGGCTGCCATTAACAAGGATGGAAATCAACACAATGGTCCTATTTTGAGCCTTTAAAATGCTTCCGCATTAGTCATTTTAGTCCAAGGATCCCAGTGCTTCATTTGACAGGTGGCTTTGAGGAAAGTGTAGCAACAATAATAATAATCATGATAATAATGCTGCACTGGGATACCATGCTGTTGCTCCATTCACTAGCAAAGCCAAAAAGGAAGGCTTTACTTCCTAACTCTATTTTCCCACTGTTTTTCTTCAGTATTTCATTCATATGTCATCTCAATCCCTCCGCTGTCGGGTTCAAGAGAGATTCATATGCTGCAAGTTGTGAAAATGGTCCCATATTATGGTATCCTCATACGATCAGTGCAGTTTGACACCAATTTAATGGTTATGGCTCAAACGTGGACTGTCTGCAGACGTCACACTCAACTCTTGGAACAATTCCATCAGCGCTGCCTCCGAAAAATCCTGCAAATCTCTTGGGAAGACAGGCGGAGAAATGTCAACATGCTGGAAGAAGCAAAACCACCAGCATTAAAGTGATGCTCCTATGCCATCAACTCCGCTGGACTGGCCATGTTGTCCGAATGCCCGATCACTGTCTCCCAAAGCAGTTACTATACTCCCAACTCAAGAACAGGAAACATAATGTTGGTGGACAGGAAAAGAGATTTCAAGATGGGCTGAATGTTTCTCTCCTTATGAACCATCTAGGACAGTGGTTCTCAACCTGGGGTCCCCAGATGTTTTTGGCCTACAACTCCCAGAAATCCTAACAGCTGGTAAACTGGCTGGGATTTCTGGGAGTTGTAGGCCAAAAACATCTGGGGACCCCAGGTTGAGAACCACTGATCTAGGATGTTAAGATCTTCTGGGGAGGCCCTGCTCTCGCTCCTGCCATCTTTGCAGATGCGTCTGGTGGGGACGAGAGACAGGGCCTTCTCAGTGGTGGCCCCTCAACTGTGGAACACCCTGCCTAGAGATATATAAGATCAGCTCCCTCCCTCCTGACCTTCTGAAAAAAGGTGAAAACCTGGCTTTTTGAGCAGGCCTTCCCAAATACAGCATAGCTAAATGGAATTATGGAACTACTTGATAATGCAATGGAATAGTTATTTGACATGGAGATGCTCACGGTAATATTTTAAGGCTTTTTTCAGTTTTTATATTTCATTGGTATTCTGTTAAAAACAATATGCTATTGTTTTCAACAGAATTTCTTAATTGTTTTTACTTGTTATAATTGTTGAGGTATCGAAATTGTTGCCAATTTGTGAACCGCTCCGAGTCGTCTCTGGGCTGAGAGGGGCGATATATAAATATAGTAAGTAAATAAATAGCAAATAAAGTCAACCTTTAAAAACTGTGGCATAGACACCGAACTGGGAAGCCCTGGCCCTTGGGTACTCTAACTGGAGGTCAGCTGTGACCAGCAGTGCTGCGGAATTTGAAGAGGCATGAATGGAGGGTGAAGGGGAGAAACGTGCCAAGAGGAAGGCACATCAAGTCAACCCTGACTGGGATTGCCTTCCACCTGGAAATCAATGTCCTCACTGCGGGAGAACATGCGGATCATAAACAGGGCTCCACAGCCACATACGGACCAACCACCAAGACACAACACTTGGAGGACCATCATCCTCAGGCTACAAGAGATCGCTTAAGTCAGTAAGTGGCTCAACGCAATGGTATCATGGGAGTTGTCATCTACAAAGTCTTCAGCCTTCTCTGCTAAAGAGTTCTGGTGTCTCCCTAAACTACGTCTCCCAGGACTGCAAGGGAAGCACAAATGGTCCCGCTTGGCTAGTATATGCCAAAGATCTAGAACAGGTATGGGGAAACTTCAGCCTTCCAGGTGTTTTGGCTTTCAACTCGCACAATTCCTGGCAAGTGGCTGAGGGGGGAAAGGAAGGTCCTGAGATCAGGTCCAAAACACCTGGAGGGCCGAAGTCTCCCCATGCCTGATCTAGAAGCAAAAGGAATTGCAGCAGGGAATAGGCCAAAGCCCTTCCTCAAACTGAAAAGCCCTGCCCCTTGAGCATTCTAACTGGAGGTCAGCTGTGATCAGCAGTGCTGCAGAATTTGAAGAGCCTAGAGTGTACAATACGATGTGCTTTGGTAGAAATGGAAACCCATCATCCCCATCTTTCACTTGACCCCCTACAAGCTGAGAGCTGCAGTACCACCATTTTGCCATTGATGGTGGCAGCGCTATAGGTAACAACCAGGCATCCCCAGTCATGCAGTGAACAGATAGGAGATTTAGTAAGGTATAAGAAACGTAATACCTTGTGCTTACGGAGGCTCCCTGGGCTGGTAGGTGTGGAGATGGGGGACTGCTTCGATTTGGGTGTCGACAGCTGGCTGCTGGAGGTGCCATTTGCTATCCCAAAAAAAGAGAGAGACCAGCAATGAGAGAAGACCGGCATCAAGTTGGAAAAGTGTTTATATACCCAATCTTATTTTCATCCAAAGCTTCCCATTGATGAACCCCATAAATCAGTGTTCCTCAACCTTCCTAATGCCGCCACTCCTTAATACAGTTCCTCATGTTGTGGTGATCCCAAACCATAACATTATTTTTATTGCTACTTCATAACTGTAATTTTGCTACTGTTATGAATCGTAATGTAATATGCAGGATGTATTTTCATTCACTGGACCAAATTTGGCACAAATACCTAATACCCCCAAATTTGAATACTGGTAGGGTTGGGGGTGGGATTGAGTTTGTCATCTGGGAGTTGTAGTTGCTGGGATTTATAGTTCACTTGCAATCAAAGAGCATTCTGAACCCCACGAACAATTGAAATGAACCAAACTTGGCACACAGAACTCCCATGGCCAATAGAAACTACTGGGAGGGTTTGGTGGGCACTGACCTTGAGTTTTGGAGTTGTAGTTCACCTACATCTAGAAAGCACTGTGGACTCAAACCAAACTTGGCACAGATACTCAATATGCGCAAATGTGAACACTGTGGGAGTTTGGGGAAAACAGACCTTGAAATTTTGGAGTTGTAGTTGCTGGGATTTATAGTTCACCTACAATCAAAGAGCATTCTGAACCCCACGAACAATTGAATTGAACCAAATTTGGCACACAGAACTCTCATGGCCAATAGAAACTACTGGGAGGATTTGGTGGGCATTGACCTTGAGTTTTGGAGTTGTAGTTCACGTAAATCCAGAGAGCACTGTGGACTCAAACCAAACTTGGCACGGATACTCAATATGCTCAAATGTGAACACTGTGGGAGTTTGGGGAAAACAGACCTTGACATTTGGGAGTTTTAGTTGCAGGGATTTATAGTTCACCTACAATCAAAGAGCATTCTGAACCCCACCAACGACAGAATTGGGCCAAACTTCCCACACAGAACTTACATGACCAGCAGAAAATACTGTGTATTGTCGAAGGCTTTCATGGCCGGGATCACTGGGTTGTTGTAGATTTTTTCAGGCTATATGGCCATGTAAATTGCCTCCAGAACATGGCCATATAGCCCGGAAAAACCTACAACAACCCAGAAAATACTGTGTTTTCTGATGGTCTGTGGCAACCCCTCTGACACCTCTCACGACCCTCCCAAGGGTCCTGGCCCACAGATTGAGAAACACTGCATAAATGATAAATGGCAATTGGAATACTAGTATGCTCATTTGTGTCATGTACCTTTCGGTCACTGCAAATGGATGAGGAGCATTATACCCTTTGTCTGCAATGCAAGATTTCACACATTGGTTGCGTAGCGTTCAATTCGGAGCATTAAACAGTGATATGGTTTTGCCCTTTGCATGTTGTTCTACTTTGACACATTCATTCATCATAAGATGACGCCCAAAGTATCCAGGCATGGCTGATATTTGGCACACATTTAACTGCCCCTTCAATAGAGAATCCAGGAGCAAAACAAACCCCATCCGGATTCTTGTTGGCGGGGCCAGACTTCCCCCATCGAGCCCAGCTTGCTAGACACTAGCAGGAGAAGGTCACATTTTAATTCAAAATCAATGTGCTTCCCCTCTGGTATTTACAAAAGGCAGGGGGGTGTTAATTGTTCTTAAAGCCACATGGCTCCCTCCTCAAAGCCCATGGAAAAGAAAACGTGCCCCAGGCAGACAATCGAGGTCACAAAGCCAACCCCAAAGAGACCTTCACAATGGTCTGCAACAGAAGAAGTGTGGGGTCAGGTGGCAGGGTGAGAAATTGAAAGGGTATTCACAAATACAGCAGACTCCCAGTTAACCAGAACTCGAGCAACTGGAGCCCTCAAGCAACCAGCAGAAAATTCACAACAACCCCCATCCAGAATAGTGAATGGCTTTTGAAAATGGCATGGTTTTGAAATACGTTTTTCACAGCAAGAAGAAAATTCCAGAAATAATCCATAGCCTTCAAGATTACTGCTCAACAGCCACAAGGTATAGTTAGATTCACTATATTTCCCCTGCTGCCAACATGAGTTATTTTTAATGAAGCTAAATCTCTAAGGAGTTCCTTCATCAGCACTGAGGATTTGCAGAAAAAAACTTCAAATATTACCTCCAATACACCTTTCCAACGATGGCAGATCCCCTCCAGGAATATCCTCTCTGCCTCTTCTGGGATCCCTTTGGATAGGTCTCTCACACTTTCCCCCTTTTCCTATCTCGGTTTTGGGTGTGAACACAATCAAACCCGATGGACCTGTTTCGATTTTCCATACCAAGGTTTCACATTTAAATTGTGCTGGAATTACATCTCGCGGAGTGCATACCGATGTGGTCATTATAATGGGAACGGTGAACATTTGTGACACCAAAGGTGTGAATGGAGGAGTTAAGCAGGTCACAGGTAGAAGCAGAAAAGTGAGAAAAGGACCATAAAGCCTAATTGAGGGAGAGCCACGGTGAAGAAGTAACATGCACAAAATAACTTGAGGGTGCATCTACGCTGTAAAATTAATGCAGTTTGAAACTACTTTAACTGCCATGGGTTAATGCTATAGAATCCTGGGAATTGTAGCTTCTTTGCCATAGTGTGCTGGTATTTCAACAAGCAATGAATCCCAGAAGTCCATAGCACTGAGCCATGGCAAATCAATTGGGATCAAACTGCATTAATTCTATAGTACATATGTGTCCTGAGACATTTATTTATTTACTAGTTGTCCCCTGCCATACATTGCTGTGGCCCAGTCCAGTGATCTGGAAAATAAAGTAATGCAAAAGTGTTGGTTTCTAATATATGCAATACCTTTATGCTTGTGGGTAAGCAGTATTTCTTGTTGTTTTTTGTCAGTGTTGATGTGGAGATTGTGTGGTTTGCCTACTCTGGAACATGCAACATATAATTGTCCTTCTTTAGGGGTCCCCTTCAAAACTATGATACTATATCTCTGTGTGTGAATCATCTATATCTATATCTATGGCTGGATGGCTCTTTGTCAGGAGGGCTTTCATTATGTTTTCTTGCCCTAGTGAAGGGAGTTGGACTGAATGGCCTTAAGTATTTTCTGTTGGTCATGGGGGTTCTTGGTAGGAAGTTTGCCCCAATTCTGTCGGTGGGCTTCAGCATGTTCTTTGATTGGAGGTGAACTATAAATCCCAGTAACTACAACTCCCAAATGTCAAGGTCTATTTTCCGCAAACTCCATCTGTGCTCATATTTGGGCATATGGAATATTCATACCAAGTTTGGTCCAGATCCATTATTGTTTGACTCCACAGTGCTCTCTGGATGGAGGTGAACTACAACTCCCAAACTCAAGGTCAATGCCCACCAAACCCTTCTAGTGTTTTCTGTTGGTCATGAGAGTCCTGTGTGCCACGTTTGGTTCAATTCCATCATTGATGGAGTTCAGAATGCTCTTTGATTGTAAACTATAAATTCCAGCAACTACAACTCCCAAATGACAAATCAATTTTTTTGAGTGATGGTCACTCCTTGGGTTAGTAGGTGTATTGTGGTCAAATTTGACAGGTATTCATCCATTGGTTTTTGAGTTCTGTTAATCCCACAAATGAGCATTACATTTTTATTTATATAGATTATTTACAGTATGTATATATCACTCTTCTCACATGCTCCAGAACATCATGAAACTGTTGGAAATAGCAACCTTCGCGAAGCCTCCTATACTAGTTATTTGTTATGTGTAAAATTCAGATTGCTTACTGTATTGTATATGCAAAGGCGGCCCTAGGTAATTTTCAATGGTAAGCAAACAGTATTTTGCCCCCCCCCCCCCAACCAATCACTGATATATATTTTCTGTTCATCGTGGGAGTTCTGTGTGCCATATTTGGTTCAATTCCATCATTGGTGGAGTTCAGAATGCTCTTTGATTGTAGGTGAACTATACATCCCGGTAACTACAACTCGCATATGTCAAGGTCTATTTTCCCCCAAGAGCGCCTCAAGAGCGCCCCTGGGCAAAATCAACTATACTGCAAATGCTTACTTTGAGTAATGGGTTGAGCCGCCCTTGTGTATATGTGTATATTGGTATGCAGTTTTCCTTAACTCTATGTTGTGGAAGGGACTGCAGACCATGTGATCAGATCTGGGACTGCCCTAAGATCTCAGACTCCATTTTTAGAGGTTAGTAGAAACAGACTGCTTTGGGAGAATAGACTCTATTAGATTCTCAGAACAGAGAAATGCTTTAGACCACTGTTTCTCAACCTTCCTAATGCCGTGACCCCTTAATACAGTTGCTCATGTCGTGGTAAACCCCAGTCAAAATATTAATTTCGGTGCTGCTTCATAACTGTCATTTTGCTATTGTTATGAATCGTAATGTAACTACCTGATATGCAGGGTGTTTTCACATTCACTGAACCAAATTTGGCACAAATACCTGATACGCTGGCATTTGAATATTGGTGGGGCTGGGGGGGAGGGAGGATTGAGTTTGTCATTTGGGAGTTGTAGTTGCTGGGATTTACAGTTCACCTACAATCAAAGAGCATTCTGAACTTCATCAATGATAGATTTGGCCTAACTTGGCACACAGAACTCCCAAGACCAACAGAAAATACTAGAAGGGTTTGGTGGGCATTGACCTTGAGTTTGGGAGTTGCAGGTCACCTACATCCAGAGAGCACTGTGGACTCAAACAACTGATTCATCTGGACCAAATTTGGCATGAAACCCAATATGCCCAAATGTGGACACTGGTGAAGTTTGGGGAAAATAGGCCTTGACATTTGGGAGTTGTCATTGCTAGGATGTATAGTTCACCTGCAATCAAAGAGCATTCTGAACCCCACCAATGATAGAATTGGGTCAAATTTCCCACATGGAACCCTCATGATCAACCAGGACTGTGGGGCAACTGGCTGGGAGTCAGCTGCATTAAGATCAGTACTGACCAAAAGGCCATGAGTTCGAAGCCAG